CCAGCCGCTGGGGTGACCAGGGCTCTGTGGCCGTTGCAGCTGTGGCTGGGGCAGAGAAACGCCTACCTGTGGTGGAGCAGGAACCCCGGCTACATGGAGGAACAGCCCAGCCTGCTGGAGGTGCTGTCTGAGGACTCCAAGGGGGAGGGGCCGGTGCCGCCCCTGCCCCCCAAAGCCCAGGACTCGGTCCCGGCTGCCCCCCCGGAGCTGCCCCCGGACGACTACCTGGTGCTGGATGAACAGCTGATGCTCTGCAGCCCGCCTACCTGTGGTGGAGCAGGAACCCCGGCTACATGGAGGAACAGCCCAGCCTGCTGGAGGTGCTGTCTGAGGACTCCAAGGGGGAGGGGCCGGTGCCGCCCCTGCCCCCCAAAGCCCAGGACTCGGTCCCGGCTGCCCCCCCGGAGCTGCCCCCGGACGACTACCTGGTGCTGGATGAACAGCTGATGCTCTGCAGCCAGAGCGGGGCGGACTCTGCTGCCCTCCCTACCAGGGGGCAAGAGCTGGGCCTCCCGGGGGCCGAAGCGGAGCCCGTCGTGGAGGAGCGGGTCTCGTCCTCCTCCAGCTTCGAGTACACCCTCTTCGACCCCAGCTCGGAGCTGCTGGCGCCCTGCGAGCGCCGGCCCCCACCCCCGCTCAAATACAGCTACCTCCTGGTATCCGACTCGGGGATCTCCGCCGACTATGCCCCTCTGGCCGCCGGCACCGACCAGCCCAACCTCTACACCAACCTGTGCCAGGAGGGGCGCCAGGCCCAGCTCCTCCCAGCCGGCTACGTGGCGTGCTCATAGTGCCGGCAGGCGGGGAGAACAGAGATCGGGCCCCCGGCCTGCTGGGTGGGCAGGAAACTTTCCTGCCGGAAGGCAGCAAACAAGGTGCCAGCAGGCCACAGAGGGGGCAGCAGCAGGATGGAGCCGTGCGCCTGTCCTGGCAGGAGGAAGCAGGGCCCTGTGCCTGGAGATACGACCCCAGCTCCTCCGTGCCCGGTGTTTGCACGGCTGGGGTGGAGCACGGGGGGTGGAGCGGAACTGCCCGGCTCGGGGTCAGACGTGGCTCTGGGCAGAAGCTGGATTTGCCCAAGGCCGATGCCAGCTGTGACAGGGGGGAGCAGGGACTGGTGGCCCACCTACCAGCAGGGGGTGCTACCTCCAAGATGCCCCCCTCCCTGCATCACCACCAGAGCGAGCTCGGATTCAAGACGTGGGAGCTGGGGGGAAGCTACAGCCCCCGTGTCACCAAGGGGACACCCCACGGCAGCTGCAAGGGATGCTGGGAGTCCTGTGGTCTGTGAAGGGCTTTGTGCACGTCCGCAGCCGGGGAGCGAAAGCGCCGTCACGCCTGGGCACATCAGTGCTGCGCCCACGTCGGCGCTGGGAGAGAAGGGCGAGGCAGCAGGGTGGGGGAGATGTCAGGACTGCTGGGTTCTACCCCAGGGGTCTGTGAGTAGGGACTAGTGGTTAGAGCGGGGGGGAAGGGCGGGGAGCCAGGACTCCTGGGTTCTATTCCCTACTCTTGACCGTGAGCAAATCCCACCTGCCCAACGTCTCTTTCTGTGCCTGAGTTTCCCCACGTGGAAAACAGCTGACAATACGGATCAATGGAGGACATCACTTGCTGTAAGTATTTAGCCACACGGAGCTGCCCCTGCTCTGGGGACGCTCTTATCATTAACCCTTTAAGAGATACTACCAGTGCCAGATGGACTGATTTGCCCTGGCCGCACATAACGCTGCCACTGCAGCCCCCTTGGGGTGCATCTGGCCAACACTGAACACCATGGGAGCAAGGACCACCTCCTACCTGCCCAGTAGCGGTGGGGCCCGCCCTCCCTAGCCCCCGAGCTCCCATCTTTGTATAGTTAAAAGGGAAAGTGTGGGGCTGGCTGGGAAGGAGGCCAATAGGGGGTCAAGAATCCCCTAGAAGTAGGGGACTACCCCACAGCGCCCTGCCAGGGGTGCAGGCCCAGCTCGGAGCCCCTAGCAGCTGAGTGAGCGATAGATCTTTGCCTTTTAATAAAGAGGCTGTTTTTTCCCACTTGGTGTCGATCTGAGTTTGTACAGCACTTGGCACAGCGTGGGGCTGGAGCACCCAGGCGCTACCCTAATACACCTAACTAATGTACAGCACCCCGGGCACTGCTGTAGTAGATAAGCCATGTTTTCCCAAGGGGCCCAGCACGACAAAGGGTAAAGCCAGAGGGCCTGGCTGCCTGTCCCACACACTGGGGTGTTGCACGTGCGAGGCCTTAGTGCAAGGAAATGTGGCAATGGGGACACTGCTGAGTGTAGCACAAGCGGGTGGCAGAAACCAGGGGGCCAGAGCAGAATCGGGGTAGTAGCTCTGCCTGGGGCCAGTCCCTGCCCCCCAGCATGAGGACCCCCACCCACTCTCCAACCAGGCAGACCCCTTTGGCTCTGTCCCCACCAGATAGTGATTATCTCCACAGCCACCGGCCCCTGGGTGTTATCAGGCTGGGGCAGGCAGGAGGACCTCAGCCAAGAGCCATGCAGGGCCTGGCACCAATCCAGCATCGGCAGGGTGAGCGGCTCAGGACCGGAGAGCCAGAGGAGGCAGCTAAAGGCTGCTGCAGCTCAGGTGGGAGGGCACCAGCATGTGGTCAGCTGGGCCTGATTCATGGCTCCATTGTCCTCCTGACAGCCCCCCAGCTCGGGGCCAGCTGAGCTCCCTGACTCTAAGCCAGCTGCGAGAGCTGGCTCTGGAGGCGGGGCGGGGTCCAGGGAGTTAGAACAGGGGAGGGAGAGGCTGGGAGCCTGCTTCCATTGATGGCTCTGGATGGAGAGTGGGGTCTAATGGTCGGAGCAGAGGAAGTGATTGTCACGAGATCAGACAGAAACCCAGTCTCCTCCACTCCTAGCCATGGGAACAGATGGGCTCCCCCTCAGAGCTGGGTGCAGCTAACTGGTCAGATTCCCCCCCTCTTCCTTGGAGAGCCAAAACCTGGGAAAATAAGTTTGATTCAGGGCACAGGCTGTGTATTTTTTGTTTGCGCAGCCCCCAGGGTGACGAGGGGGGGGAGGGGGGCCATCTCAGCTGTTCCGTGATCTGACCGGTAACAAACAAATTTGTATTGTTGAAAATTCCTCCGTGTCTGTTTACTGCGGGTGGGACATTAAAGTAGGCCCAGGAGGGGCTGTGCAAAGACAGATTTTCCCCTAAATCACCCAAGGTTCAATCAACAACAGGGCTGAAAAATCCATGCTGGGGAAACAAGAAGTCAGCTCTCCAGTGAATGCTGGGGGCCAGGCACCCAGGAGTCATTTCTCAGCCCCAGCAGCTCTGTCCAGGTCTGAAGCTGCCCCAGAATCCTCCGCACACTCACAGGAGACGGGGGATACTGTCATCTCTCCATCGAGGCCAAATCCCACCCTCCACTCTCGGTCCGGAGCACCAGGCTGGGACAGATGCGCCTTGAATGTCCTGTCACCCGCCCAGTCCTCCTGGCCCAAGGCTGCCGCAGGGTCCAGACACAGCCAGCACCTGGCTGGGAAGTAGCGCTGGAGAATGCTGAGATGCTCCTCAGCCTCTGTTTCCCCGGAGACCCGCATGGAGGCGATGAGCTGGCAGCTGGGGGCAGATCCTTGGGGGTCCATGCCCAGGCGCCCCGTGAAGTATGAAGCTGTGTCCACCAGCAGGGCTGAGAGCCGGGCGACCGCCTGAGGGCCAGGGCAACCGGCGAGGTACTGCTCCAGCCCGTCCAGCAGGATGAGGGCAGGGGGCCCAGGCAGGCTCTGGTGCAGAGAGGCCAACACCCGCAGGAGCTCCGGCAGCGAAGGCGGGTAGAGGAACTGGACATGCTATGGTGGAAGAGGAGGGGGCTAATGGAAGAGGGATTGGGTCTGTCCCAGCCCAGGATCCCCTCCCTCCACACCAATTTGCCCTCTAATCTTTTCCATCCATGTGTGAAATAAATTGTTTAGGTGCACCACCCGCAGAAACAAAAAACCTAACGGGGGGGCTAACCAGCTGGGTGGCGTTTAAATCTCCCCAGCAGCCACACAAGCACCCAGTTCAGAGGGAACGCTGTTCCCGCACAGTCTAGCCTGCTTCAGCCCAGCAGCCCCCATCACCAGGCCAACCACAGCCCAGGCCTCCTGCCTCCCCACTGGCCTCTCCCTTCCCCCACCCAGCAACCCACCCCCAAACATCCAGCCAGGCCCAGCCCGTCTCATGTCAGCACCACCTCCAAACAGCCCCTCCCTGGCTGACTCTTCCTGCACCTCAAGCTCCTCCCCT